GGCCAATTTCCACTGGAAATGCCTTTTGGTTAAACTCTTCGAGCGCGAGTGGAAATGTTTTGCTTTAGTGTGTCGTGCCCAAACCAAGGACACGCACACACACACACACACACACACTGTTCTGTCTACACACTGCTCCAGAGACAGTTCTTTTCTGTCTTTACTCTACCGCGAGCTACACGAACGCACGCACGCACCCAAGCAGGCTCGCGCGCAGATTCTGTGAGTCATACCGCATTTGGAGACTCGCGGCCTCGCTGCTCTTTGAGTGAAGTAGAGCCCCCTGCTGATAACGCGCGCGCGCACAGACAGGCTCATCTTCTGGGGGAAGAAAAAGTGAACGTTCGTTCCAGAACTGTTCAGGCTCTGAGACGTGGACATGCAGCGTTACGCAAGCGCACCCTGACTCTGCGCGTATGGGGTGCGCGGAGATGTACATAGCCCAGAAACACGGCCACACGGCAGGAGTGTATTGTTTCTCTTTTGCTGGTGGGTGTGGTGTTACCAGGAGCCAAGTCCAAATTTGTGTCGGTGTATTCAAATAAAACTAAAAGAGAAATGATGGTAATGATGGCAATAACGACAATCAGCGTTGCAGTGACGACATAGTTGAAAAAAGTTACTTCCTCCTTTTTTTTGTTTTAGAGTATTTTAAACGGTTAGTTTACCCAAATGTCAGAGTTTTGGTCTTATCTGCTGATGCTTTGTGTTTGTGTATATATATGTGTGTGTGTGTGTATGCCTCTTGGGGGTTGGGTGGTATATGTGTGTTTGTCTTTTTAAAAACGAGCCCTTTAATGCATTTCATCTGTTATTTTCTGTGGGTCTTTTATTATTTTGTGGAAGAGTTTTATCATTATTAATGAAAAGCGTTATGACGCCACATGTCAGCACTCTGAGCGGCCTCATCCACAACAACAGCAATCGGGTTGTGCTGGTGTGGAGGAGGGCAGACACAAAATGATATATCAGAAGTGTAGCAGATGAAAGCTGAACAGTGTGCGTGCCCAGATAACACTCTGCCTCAGCAGCTCCAAACTGTACTTTGATGGAATTTCATACTGTTTGCATTTCCCATATTGACCATTCACCTACAGTCAGAACTGACACATTTGTGAGAGCTGCAGAAAACAAAATCCTGGCACTTCCTTTCACGGCTTTGATCATGAAATAGTTGTATTTGAAGGAGGAGATTTTAAAATACTGAACAATTGTGATATCTAAACATCTGTAACATGCTAAAAAAACAAGTCAGTGTTTGTATTTTGATAATATTCTAGAAGTTCAGCGTGCTAGGAATAAAACAAGCATTTCCTGCAT